ATTAATTTGAGGACACTGTGTGCTCAATTAGCACTAAAGCCACTTAGCTCATCGGAACTATTGAGAGTTACTGAAGCTTCATCTCAATCACAGTCTGCAATGTCTTTCACAACAGCTTGACCTCAGCTTTCATTTGTCATGCTTTGGAGTGTTTTGTGAAGTTCCACTGTACTCTTCCAGAATGCAAAGTAGTCTGGTGGGTGACCTATTGAACATATTTTTTTCAGCACAATCTGAAATTCTATTGTAAAGGGTGGTCCACCAAGTAAAGATGCTTGCCTGAGCACAGGTTGAGCTCTATGACCCTGACATTCTGGGATAGACGTTAGTCTAGATCTAGTATGTCACTAGCCAATTGTTACTGGGTGGCCCACAATGACCTGAGCACCTCTGAGCTGAGGGCTGGATTGGTCCAGCAGGGTGTTCTGGGTTCTCAGCTGTGCAGTGGCTCCTCCAGGTGCTTGAAGGCCTGTGGTCATACCAGAACTGCTTCATACTAGAAAAGTGTTGGTTTCAAGGTGGGTGTCTATACTTATAAGATAAGAGATCACTTTATTTGCCATATAAAATGTATTGCATTAGGAATTTGTCTTTTAACATACCCCAGCTTGCTCTCCATGAAACACAGAGGTGCACAGACAGGGAGAGAGAAGCTTGGGGTCAGAGCAAAGGGTTAGCTATTTATACGGCACCCCTGGAGTAGCTGGGGTTAAGGGCCTTGCTCGGGGTCCCAACAGAGTAGGATTCCTCTGCCAGCCACAGGATTTGAATCGGCAACCTTCCAGCCACAGGCGCAAATCCTTAGCCACAGTGCCACCACTCTGCCTGATTCAGTATAAGAGTAAGTGTAAAGATTATTACACTGCCTCTTATTCTTAGTGGGTATAACAATTCTATAATTAAAAAAAAGAAAAGATTAATTTGCATTACAATTTTGCATTTTACTGAAGTTATCAAAGGAGATCAGATTAATAAAACATCTTGCATATGCAGAACTAGAAGGACTTTCAGATGTCAAAGGAGTGTACTGTAGGAGGGGATTATTTTTGTGGTGAATGGACACATGGGGTAGTCATATGGTTTGTGTTTAAGTGAGATTTAAACAATGTTATTTCCTCTGCAGGCTGATTTCACAGAGTGTTTTGTCATACGTGAAAGGCAGAACTGTTTAATTCCAGTGAAAACATGCACATGTTCCTTCTTTGCTTGAAAGCATTAACACTCTTTCCTCTGAAGAGTTTGTTTTTTCTTTCCTTTCCTCCTTTCATCTTGCTTGAGTGACGGGTTTGTCGGGTCAGATTTGCATTTTTGAAGCTGCACATTGGGATGTCCGCTGTTTCACAGTACTTTTCCAGTTGATGACATTGCCATGTAATCTACGGATTTTAATCTTCAGTGAATTTAATTAAATTTGAATGCATGTGAATGAAAGAAATCTGAAAAAAAATAGTTATGAATACGTTAAAGTATATAATATGTCTGATCCTGAAATAATAAAGCTTTTCAAATGCTGCTACCTGCATAAATATAAAACCTGCCAATTTAGCTTCATTAGTGGATTCGCCAAATAACTTCCTCCACAGCTACTGTAAGCCCTCCCTTTCCCCCTCCATTGCACACTTGCTGATCCAGCTTGGTCTCAAACTCTGGGCTTCCTAAACTTGCATGAGGAAACAAAACAAAAAAAGATTGCATACCCCAACTTAAAAAAAAGCCATTTAAAGAGCAGGATGCCCACTCACAACTCCATTATCGTTTTTGTGCAGAAATGTCAGCGCAGCTTAGTAAACTGAGTGTTAAACAAAAGTTAAAAGAAGAGATTTAAACTTATTCAACCTTCCCACATTTAAAACATCATGGGACTTGTTGTTGGGAGCAGCATGGTGGCACATTAGTTGGTATTGCTGCCTCACAGCACTTGGGCCCTGGGTTCAATTCTGGACCTGGAGTGCTATCTGTGTGCAGTTTGTTTGTCCTCCCCATATTTGTCTGAGTTTCCTTTGAGTGCTCTGGTTTTCTCCCACTGTATTTATATCTGTGTGCACTCTGCAATGGACTGGCAACCCATCCACTGTGTATCATACCTTGAACCTGTAGCTCACCAGGATAGGCTCCTGCTCCCTTGTGACCCTGTATTGAATGTGGTTATTTAATGGATGGAAGGGTTACCTGGTTAGTTGCTTACACTTCTCACTTTCACAATCCTCCCTCCACCTTAGGTAAGATCACTTTATTAGCCATATACAATTTTTCTTTTCTCATACCCCAGCATGCTCTCCGTGAGACACACAGACAGGGAGAGAAGCTTGGGGTCAGAGTGGAGGGTCAGCCATTTATACAGCGCCCCTGAAAGTTAAGGGGCTTTGCTCAGGGGCTCAATGGAGTAGGATTCCTCTGGCGGCTGCAGGATTTAAACCGGCAACCTTCCAGCCACAGGCGCAGATCCTTAGCCACAGCGCCACAGCGCCACCGCACCTCTCTGTCTTCACACTTGCAGCAGCAACTCCCAAACTCACCCTTCAGTAGAGGAAAGGGTTCTGACAACTATGTCCTTGCAGACAGCTTGGTGTTCTCCTGGGTGAATTATGCCTATAAAGCTCACTGTTCGAAACATGCCTTATCCTCAGTGAGGGTTTGACCCAACTACAGGAATTACAACACAGTATTGGGTGCTGTTTTTTTCTTTGTTTTTAAACTTTAATGAAAACCACTAGTGTACTTGTACGAAATCTTATGTTAAATTACAAAAATGCAATGCTCTTTGTAGGGGGAGTGACTAATTTAAAGAACAGTTTAAATGACAAAAATGCAATAGTTTTTGTAGGAGGAGTGACTTATTTATAGTTCCTTTTCTTAATGCTAGAACAAAATTAGTTCCAAATTTCTAGAATTAAAGCATAACATCCATTTCACATTTTTGACTTCCTCTAACTGTGATCTTCTGAAGGGCTTTTAGACCTATAGAACGGGGTAGTGCGAGGTTATTTCAGCACAGCAAGCGCTGAGAGCCATGTAGCCTGTAAGACACTCATTAATACAAGTACTTCTCTCAGTTCCCAAGCTGGACTGACAAAACAAGTGGCAGTTCCATAAAAAGGGTTTTTCCCATGAATTAAAAGGGATTAGAGATTGGGGTGTTCTCATACTCAGAGACAAATGAAAAGCATAAAGCAGAAGTATTAAAGAGATGAGGAGAAAGAAGTGGGAGACTAAAGAAGGGATCAAATGAGGTGGAGTCTTAGAATTTTGCGCTTCTAAAGAGATAACGAATGCTGTTTGCTAACCATTTATCCAAAGAACTGATTAATAGTATAGCATAGATTCTCCCTGGTGACACAACTCAGCAACAATTTAGTTAAGTGCTCTGAAACAAAGTACAAGTGAAACCAAGTGCTGTTTCTCTGACCTACAAATACCTTTCACTCACAGCTATATTACAGACACAACTTGAAAGAGGTAGAGTACAAAATAGAATTCTAAAACCAAATCACTAATTTTATAAATAATACTGAATACCCCATAACAAAAAAAAAATCTGGTATTGTATATACTGTATTACCCACAATGACACCTTTGTATTTATAGGAGTCTTTAAGGAAAGGTAGGGCCCCATCGATGAATGACAGCCAGTCTTAACACATCTTATGTAACACTAATAAAGACATTAATATAATTTTTCTAATTACAAAATTACAGCATAAATGCTGTAAAGGAGCAATCAGACAAAGAAGCTATTCAACAACAAGGGGTAAAAGAACACCAAATTAGCAACTACATATCTAAGAACAAAAACTACTGGCACTCCTTAATGGCTTTGGCTTAGCATGTATTTGGTTTTGATCATGTGCACAGTAAAGGGTAGTATATCGGGTTTGCATTTCAAGGATAATTGATTTGAGGCTTGGGATGTAATTCATGTAAGGATTTGCTACTGATGAAATCAGGTACTATGATTTTATGGAAAATTGGTTTGCACACAATTCAGGGCAAGGGAAATACTGGATCATACCTGGAAAGGATAAAGCATGAAGAGGACAGGTTTCATTCATCATTCCTTGAAACAATCTTTGGTCTGTATCATGTCAACAAGTTGGCACCATTTTTAGCACAATACGAAAGCACTGCTGAAGAGGTACTGACTTGCATTTTAATTAAGCTCCCACTTGCCTTTTCTCACATTCCAGGATTTCATTTTCATATGTATTCCTCTTCTTTGAACCTTTAGCCAAGTTTTCTGTTACAGAAACCATTTTTATAAAAGCCAGCTATTGTTTCAAAACCCTTGGCTCATCCGAGGCAAATGTCAAATAAACCTCTGTCATATTCTGACAATAAGCACATTTCTGCTCTCTGCACGTATTTCACATGAAAAAACACCCAGACAGACTGAATGGGAAAATGTATTTCAAGACAATAAAACTGTTCTTTAATTGTTATTTTCTGAGTATTTTTCAAATTCATACCTGTAATCTCCCCAAAGGAAAGGAAGAGTTTTTATTTGCCTTGTATGCTATACTTTTTAAGTTTCTTTACCTCTGCTGGAAGTGTTTTTTTATGTTATACTGGTAGAAGGTTCCAGATTAGTATTTATTTCAATTGAGAAAAAACTAATTCCGTTCTTTTTCACGTGTGCCTTGTAAGATTTTTGCATTTTAACAAACTCCACAAACTTCTCCTAAGCCTTCAGTGTCAAAGAGGAACTATGCCAGTAAAAGGCAAAAGACTCTATTCCCAGATTCCTGCTTTCTATTAATCCTTTATCATGTTACTTTAAGACATGCAGTATGTGAGAGCCTTGCTTTGTTGCAGCCTATACATATGTGGCAACTGCTGACTCCAAACAAGTCTGAAAGCAGGGACTGCATTCCTGGGACAGGATTTAACTGGAAGGTTTAGGTAGCCAGTGGGTGTGCTTAATAGGATGGAGAAGAGAGAGTGAAGTATGTCGACCAGCCTCCCAGCTAATTAGTTCACCACTTAACAAAGGTAAGCCAGCAATGGAGGAGGACCCCTGGGGCCAGCTTCAAATCCTGCTCTGTGCCTGAGTGGCAGATGAAAAAAAAGAGAAAGAGAGAGAAAAAAAAGACAGATTCTTTGCATTTGTTCACACTGGATGTGAGGATGGGCACAAGTTCAATAAATGTTCTGCGCTCCCAAAGGCATGAGGACACTGTCTGGTTGTATCTGGGAAAGAAGGATCTGGAGATGGACAGTGTTTTGGAGTCTTTGGAGGAGATAGTCTCTCGGGTGCTTCCTAACACAGACTCGAGCAGTGTCTTCAAGGATCGTGAGTACCATTCACTTGCTAATAGTATTCACCACATTGTTAGCAGCTGGTTCTGTCCTCCAAATTAAATTGCACATGAGGTACTTGTGCACATGTTTCGGATTCTGATTTGTGTATCTTTAAGCTTTTCTTAAATCAAACAGTATGGGGCTGTTATCTGTGTTATAAAGAATAAAAAAGTCAGCTTTGACAATGTTGGAATTTATTTGCATACTCTGAGAAGTTACATTTATTTTAGATTACGTGATAAAGCAGTAAGACAATTTGACAGTGCTTTTTTCTAAAAGTATTTGTCTTAAGTACTTTCAAGAACTTCATGAAGCTTTAGGAAATGTCATTTAAGATGCGCTGGGAAGCGCAAATTCAATTCTAGTAATTCCTGCAATGTTTAATTTCCATTTAATCAGTGGCTGGAAAAATACTACAAAACAAATTTATAGGGAATTTCCCAGAAGCTTGTAATTATATTTTCTTTTGTAAATCTGTACACTATATCTTTTTTCAAATGTATATTTGTATTATTTTAAATATGTATATATTGTTTTATTAAATACATTTCACAAAATGTTATTTATTTTCATTGTGACTAAGTGTATAATTACATATTCGTTAAACTGAAACAAAATTATCCTATTTATTCTAATTCTAAAGTTTTTTAACAGTTTAAAGTCACCTTAAATGTGTTAAAATACAATTGGTTTTATTGATATTTTTATGTATTTTGCATTTTTTCAAATTAATTTATTGAAAAATATAATGTAAATAAAACAGATAAAAATGAAGATCATATCAAAGTTTATCTTTCCTTTTCAGGATTCCTAAATTATGGTCTTATATGAGCTGCTTATAATAAATGACATCTGAATAAAACAAGATAGGTAGCAGTATTATTGTGTTTCAAGTGGAAAATAGCAAAACCAAAGGTTGAGTTAAATTACTGTGTCCCTTAATCTGCAGAATTTCAATCAACATATACTGAAGTCTAGTCTGCATCGCTATAGTTAATCCCTTTTCTTTTAAACACTGTCATTTCATACCATTGAATTTTAATTTATGGCAGGTGCTTTTAAAAACTTTTTTCAAATGTATAGTATCAAATATCAATTTAATATTTCATTTGATTTAAGGATTTTTCCTGTGCAGTGTTACATAGCTGTCTTCACACTGTAAGTCATACTTTAGCATGGGGATTTTGATTATAAAACCATGCCTTAAGCTATACACTTCTATACACCTCTTTCAGTGCAGCACATTACAATGAAGCTGATCTTTTATTCTCTAAGGTAATATCTCTGTAAGAGTACATCTAAAATCAATCAAAAAGGATTCAATGACTGAAAGACTTCTGAGGAAAACATCGAAACATCTCCTTCATCACTTCTGCACAAGTAAGACTTGTGCTCAAAATAAACTTTCTACAAGAAGTTGTTCCCTTATATTGTTGGTTAAATGTGGTGTGGTTAACTGAGAAAGATTTCCAGCTTTCTTTGATTTGACAGATCCTCAAATCAAAGGAAACAAGTTCCTGCAAATCCTTTACCACATTGCTCAGTGTTATTTGGTGTGGCTGAAGGAGTAAAGTTTCCAACAATACTCCAGACCAACTGAGTCTCACCTTCAGATCACTGTTTCAGCTATAGAAGTGATTAAATCATTCCAATAAAAATATTTCTGTGCCGAATGGTAGGTTCCTTTTCAAGATGTTATGTTGGGATTCAGTCTTATATTTTAAATATTCTTTCATAACATTAAGTGTTGTATCATATAGCATTAAACACAACCATGATTAAGTGGGATGAACAAAAACAATTACTTAAGATATGTTCCAGTTAAAGAAATTATAACATTAAAATGTTCAGATACTGGGTTTAACTCATCTACATATTCTACTAGAAATGACATATTATACAGTTCATTTTTACAGATGAATAAGCACAAGGTTTGCTTTTCCACATAATCCCTCACCATTCACTCAGGTATACTGGTATTATGGCTATGTTAATTACAAATATCATGGTTTGATTATGCTATTTCTACATATCTGTTAGGTCATGCTGACCTTTAACCACCTGCTTACAAATCAAGATCTAAAATTTTGAGGTTTGGCATTATATTAAAAATGTAGTTCAGGTGGGTAGCTGCGTCAGCATGCGTAGGCTGCAAAGGAACAAGTAATAGATTTATTCCATGCTGAAAAAAAAGAAGAAAGAAAACACAACGTTTCAGCCGTGGAGCCTTCATCAGGTGTGAGAAAGATAAGGCAGTAGGCAAAGGTAATGTAGCGGGAGAACAAAGGCAGGGAGAGAGGAGAAGTGAGAGGTGGGAGCAGCGGACAGAAAGAGAGGCCAATCAAGAGGTGTGAAGTGAATGGAGAAAATGTAGTCTGTCGTTAAGAGAAGGGGGAAGGTGTGATCCTAGCTGCAGGATAATTTTGGTTTCAGTAGTCTTTCTGATGTGTGGGTTCGGAAAACCGTCTTTGAGAACAGAGATGGAGAGATTAGAGTGGTCGTGGCCATCAGAGGTGAAATGAGAAACAGTGGTCTTGGAGAGATCTTTAATCTTCACAGATTAAATATTAAATATTAAAAATGTACTTTGTGGAACTTTAGGGCACTATCCCCTCCCCCCTCTTTGATATTTTCTATCTATCATTCCGTTACAATGTTTTGAATTTCAGGTGTCTCTTGTGATTTTTTGTTCAATTAATTTGTCAGAATTTTGGTACCTGTATGTATGTAGATATCACGTTAAAACAGTCAGATCAGTTTTGCTTTGGTGGTCCCAGTCACAAATTGTTTAAGATGACAGCCCTGATATCATAAGAGATTCTCTTCACTTAACTTGAAGTTATTCCATCGTGAAGTAAAATCTTAGCCATTGTCAAAGAACGTGAACCTTATGCTACAAAGAGGAAATATGGAAGTGTTATTTTGATTTCATGGATATGCCCATTTCTTTATTGAAGACACTAGGAGGTCAATCCAATTTGAATGAGTCTTTGACTTGGAGATCAGAGACTTTCCTCACTTCTGGGAAGAGAGTTCGGGTGCCTTTAATGTTCCAAAGGGGGATTGGACTGCACAAGGACAATAAGGCTTATTTCTGGCATCCAGGCTTTGCAAGATTCTGTCCTTTATCCTTTGTTAAAAGAATCAAAGTGATCTCGGACGCCTTGTCCTGTAAATGTAGCTGGGACTTTTGATGAGAGTTCTTCTGTCCTGCAGCCTCTTTTATGCATACCACATAAAACAATCTGCATATATTCTTTTGGTGTGTGTGGGGGGTCTTATTATTAATTAGAAAGCAGCCTAGAGTATAAGCATGAACTGACAAAGCATTGAATGCAGCATTGTGTGTGTTGAACTGCTTTCAATTACTGTATCTGTAATCCTGATTAAAATGCTATCAGCAACCTGTTAGGGGACATACTGTAGATCTCAATTTTTCACCTTCTCACTGCAGAGATTTAAAACACGTAAAAAGCAGCTGTGTTGTTTCTGAGCAAGTATCAGATAATGCCCACAAAGTTCTCTCTTTAGCACAGGAAAACAAGTTATCCATTTCCCATCGCCTTAATATGGATATTCCAAAAACAAGCAGTTTAAATACTTTCAGCTGTAGATCAAACAATGTGCCATTTTAAAAGCTATTTCTTCATGCATGCCAAAACAGTCTACTAAATTCTAGGACTAAAATACTGGCCACAACATCCTTTACCGAACCTCCCCAAATGACAATAGTCTTAATTCTGAACGAAGGGCAGAGAGGAGAGATTTAACAGGCAGTACAATATTTGGAAATGTACAAATACATTTGCAGAAGGTGCCCATATTTAGGATGGCACAGGGGCAGGGAAATTGGCTCACAGCTCTTAGAAACTGGGTTTGATTCCTGACTGCAGTGTCTTTTGTGCAGTTTCATGATTTTCAATGTTCAATGGGTTTTCTCCAGTTGATATCCCACATTCCAAAGGTTTCCATTCCATATCCGGCTAAGTTAATTGGTGTGTCTAAATTGTTCCTGCGTGTGTGTACTGTATGTATACCCTGCAGTGAGCTAGGTGTAGGCCTGCCTAATGTCCTATATTTCTGGGAAGCACCCTCATGACAAATAAGCATCTTTGCATTTCTAGTACTGCTATGATTCAAGATCCCAGCTTATCCCACAAATGTTCAATGGGCCTTAGGTAGGGCAGACACGCTAAGCATAAGGGCCACATTCTCATTACACAAGAAAGCCATCATTACATGAGTAGCATGAGGACAAGCATAATCCTTTAGAGTGCTGTCACATCAGCATGACAGGAAGGGCAGGAAGTGAGATCCCGGCGACTGACGGTGCACTGACTTAGCCCAGCCTCCAACATACCTACAGTATGTCAGAAAAGCATAATTCTCTTAATAAGTGAGACCCATCCTTTTTGTCATTCTCATTCTTTTTTCCTTTTTGTTTACATTTCTTCTTTTTCTCCAAGCTTAATATTCAAAATGTTAAATCATCTCATCACCTGAATCCAGTCCATCCTTATTAAGTGATTTAATATTTAGGCAACAAATCACTCAGATATGACCACAGTCAGACATGAATGATCAATTAATCAAGAAGACACCCAAAAGATTTATTCAAAAGTATTCAAATCCTTCCTAAGCAGGACCATTTTGTGAAACTGAATGCTTAAACTTAAAGTCTTCTAAGAGCTAGATAAGTTACAGAAAACATCAGCAAAAAATAAAAATGTCTTTTTGGGTAGAATTCTACCAGTTTTGCACATCAGGTTGTAATATTATATTAAAAACATGGATTTCCACTTCTATGGCCTGTTCTATTTGTTATTAAATTTAATTAAGAACCAAAAAGCCCTCCTTTATCGCTTAAAACAGCCGTAGTGGTTTTCCAGTAATTCTGAGTTTTTCTGGAATGTGTATTAAAGATGAATGAATCTTAAAAAGCAAGTTTTGTAAAAAAGGACACCTAAAAATTCTAGTTAGCAACTGATCTGC